CCCCCAAAGTTGTAGTGGTTTATTCGAAATGGGCATCACTCACTGACAAATGTCTTCGCTTTATTGCAGACAACCCCTTCCCGCCAGTTTCTTCCTCGCGATCCATTTTCCTCCTGTTAGTGGTAAATCCTTGCTCCAGGCGTCTCCTTTTCGCTGGTCTTGCTTCATTCTTGTTTTCCCCGAGTTTGCTTATGCAGTAGGCAAAGTTATCGCTAACTCTACTTGTTCATTACATTGTTCTCCGCAACGATGTCAACGGCCTTCCTAATCTTGCGCTTCCTTGTGTTGTCCCCGTATGGAGCTCTTCTGTCTGTTGCCATCCAATTGATCTCGTGTCCAGTCTGCGCGATGTGTTCCGCTAGTTCTGATCTTTCGGTATCCAATTTCCTGCTCAATATTGGCCGTAGTTTTTGAGTTAGTTCGCAGGAAGGTAGGAATATCCACTTTTGTGAATCCCTCATTGGCCTTTCTGTCCTTTCATATTCCCGGTTCCGCCATCGGCTTTTCACGGCCCGTATGTTTCTTTGTATTTGGAAATCCTGGACCGAGAGGAAGATATACTGCAATCACAACGGATCGGTAGGGAGTTCTTCACCAGACTAATCAACTTGACAATAAGGACAACATATTTCACATTCAACGGAAACATGTATGAACAAATATTTAGACTTCCCATGGGATCGCCACTCTCACCACTTTTGGCCAATGTATACATGAACAAAATAGAAGGGAGTTTCAAGATGGCACCGCTACAACCGGCAGTGCTCATGCGTTACTTGGATGATTACTTCACTTGTCTATTTGACGAGTTCGTAGCTTGGTGCGGCGAATGGCCAAACTCACTGATGATGCCGACTACGATGATGGCGAAAGGTTTGAGAATGTATCAAATCCACTGTCGGATGCTGAGAATCGTGACGACTTCGGACTAGGTACGTTCTACATGGTCTCCCTGAAAACAAGACCAAGATGCGACAACGAGGTCAACCGACTTCTATCAATCGAAAGGAGACTGCG